GTTGATCTTTTACGCTCCTCCCCGACGCAAACATGTCTCTCCTAAGCGCGACATGAGGTCAGCATTTTAATGCATGGCCTGCATTGTCCGGCCTGGGTTGGTGACACCACCTACAGGGGTCAAAATGTTCACGCAAGGGGTCAAATGTGCAACTTTCAGACTAGTCAGAACTTGCCAGTGCTGCATAATATTGCCTTATCGCCAGGCTCCGTAGATTTGTAGATCGTAGACAGGCTCCGTAGATGTGCAGATTTTTCTCATGGCGATCGAATATTAATGTTGCCTATGTTGCAGGGAGTTGTAATCAAGGTTTAAAATATTTCAAAGTTTTCCCTGTAGAGCTGTAATATGGCCAAAGTTCAAGGACAAAGCGGAGCTGGGTGGCCTAAGTGCGTAAGGCTAGAGGACAAAAGAAATGGGAGAGTTAGTCTTTGGTGTTCGTCCGCTTGCAAGGACTAGCTACTTTTCAAGTAAAGCAGGCGAAATCCAATTTCTTGAAAATAAATACCTTTTGCACGCTCCTACATTCACAATTGCATCAACGCACGTGGTCCAAGGTGGAAAAACTCTCTGATCTACCACATTTTGTGATAAGTTTCAAAAATTTGACAGCTTGCCTCATTAGGAAAATGCTTGTACAATTTCTAATAATTTAATGCCGAACCGAGTTTTGCTCCTAATCCCATTCTGGTTAAGGTAAAAACTTCTCCCGTATGTTAATTTAACTGTACAGGGTGGACACTTTGCGATTCCAATCAATCTAGCACGTTACAGGCCACAAAAAGACGCACCGTCTGGTTTGCGGAATCAATTGACGGTGTATGTCGGCATCGTAAAGCAGCGTATGCATGATAAATGTATATTTCTCTACTGCAGTTGATGGAGACGTGTACAAGGTACATTTACAATTTTTTGTGCATGCCCAACGCTGTTTTTAACCCAAAGAATAAAAATAAACACCTTGAACACACCGGAATAGGGGCAAAGTCTGCCACCGGGGGCACTGTCATCGATGTCAGCGCTCGTCGCCTAACAACCCCCTTTATCATTACTTTGGGATGAAATACGGCCAAAACTGTAAATATTAAATCAACGAATGCATGGAAAATGCACATTTCTCTATTGCAGTCTATATATATATATATATATATATATATATATATATATATATATATATATATATATATAGCTAAGCACTGATAGACGGCCATGGTCAGGGTGCCAGTGAACGGACGCCTCCAACGGTGTCACCGGTTGTGCTGACCAATTCGCACGGAATTCCTGGCATACTGGCCTGGCCTCTTAGAAGTAGACCATGGTGTAACCATGAAGCTGATCATGCACACGCCATTAGATTTGTACAGGTGAGTCGGACGACAGATGGCCTAGAACATAGAGCTTATGACGCAGCAGGTTCGTATCTGAGCCAGCCACCGTCGGGCAGAGCCACCGAGTAATATCCCTGGGTGTTGTGGCCATCGCTCTCCTCCTTCTTGGCGAAGTTGGTGCCGGCGTATTGGTCGTTGACGGCGTAGTCGTAGGCGAACGGCTTGGCCACCTCCTTGTACTGGGGCTCCGGATGGTAAGAGGCCGGCTTATGGGACCGGGCCGGGTGGTCGGGTGGTAGGGGGCCGGAGCGGGCTTGTAGCCAGGCGTCTCCGGTGCTGGGGCCGTGGCGGCAAAAGCCAGAACGACGGCAATGACGAGGCCCTGCAATGCAGTGAGATGATAATTGACGGATGAAGGAACCACTTCAGCAGAGCTGTTTTGCTACGATATATAGGCACGCACACACAGACACACAGACACACACACACACACACACACACACACACACACACACACACACACACACACACACACACACACACTATATATATATATATATATATATATATATATATATATATATATATATATATATATATATATATATATAGCTAAGCACTGATAGACGGCCATGGTCAGGGTGCCAGTGAACGGACGCCTCCAACGGTGTCACCGGTTGAGCTGACCAATTCGCACGGAATTCCTGGCATACTGGCCTGGCCTCTTAGAAGTAGCCCATGGTGTAACCATGAAGCTGATCATGCACACGCCATTAGATTTGTACAGGTGAGTCGGACCACAGATGGCCTAGAACATAGAGCTTATGACGCAGCAGGTTCGTATCCGTCTTCTTTTGGTCATACCCTGAACCCAAGATGGTCATACACACTATTTGAAATCCTTTATTGGATAAATTTATACTTCCCTCCCATCCCCAGCTGACAGCATTTCTGGTCTTTTTCTAGCCTCACCTTGACCCCATCATATCTCATTCAGTTCGCTACAGTTTTGGCCGAATTTCATCCAAAAGTAATGATTAAGTGGGTCGGTAGGCGACGAGCGCATACATTGATGACAGCGCTCCTGGTGGCGGACTGTAAAGAACAGTAAAAATATTTGTGCAAATTTCCATCAACTGCAATATTACTCGGTGGCTGGCTCTCCCAGTGCCGCTTGCTACTGGTTCGGACTTTGCCATGCATTCTACTGCCCTGGCTAGCGAGGTCCTTCGTTGTTTTTTTGCGGCGGACTTGCGGCGAAGCAAATCCAGCCGCAGATGAGGTTTAAACGCGAGGCCCCGGCAAGTTCCGAGGGTGGAAGAAAACTCCTGTTGTGGTTGGGCCATTTCATTAGTCTTCAGCAGGTGCGCCTGCTTTCCTAGCAGCGGGGCTTATTCTGGCATTTGTTGGAGGACAGTGTATGATTGAGCTTTTCGGTTATGTGCATGGTATTAAAAATTGCAGTGATAAAAGAGACTTTCCGTGACAGGCTGATAACTCATGGCGGTTCTGGGCATGGACCTAACGACCATTTTGTCATATCATATCGTATTGCGCTACTGCCGACAATTTTTCCTTCAGAAATTTGGTCGGCGACAAAAAGTACACTTTTACCGCCCCTGGCCACAAGAAATATCGTAACACGACACCCAACCGCTTAAAACAGTAGTTAGTTCTCAGCGTCTGACAGGGTTGGCGCAAGCTTCTATCCAAGGGTGGATCATCTGTAAGCAGGCTTGGATTTAGGCCTGATAAGCAGGAGCGTTATAATGTTTTTGAAAGCAAAAGGCTACGCTAAGTAACAAGATGTGCCCTAACATACAGAAATTGCTCTGAGGTACAGAGGGTGAACAGGTGAGTTATATTTTGATAAGGGCTTGATAACATACAAGGTGAATTCTTACTAACTAAATATTAACAAGCCGGCGTTTATTTGATAAAAGTATCCTCAGTCCATCCATGAAGAAAGGTATGTGATGTGCTTTATTTGTACCTTACTTGCCGACAATGTAACTGATACATTTGGCGCAGTTAAAATGAAATGCAGTAGACGACACTCGCCACTTTTTTAAGAGTATGTAAGAGTCGTGCCACTTAACGCTAACTGACTACCGCCTAGGCTTGTAAAGCCCATCATTGTATTCACCACAAAATTATATGCCGCTGTCTCGCTAGCCATATGCACGTTCCTTCAACGGCTTGCTCACTCTCTGCAAGAATATTTCTGGTTTCTGCTTGCCCCTAGGCATTATGTCCGGAGCCTAGCGGCCTGACGCGCATTGAAGTTTTGGCACCAGTGACGTCACAGTAAAGTCACGCTAGCGTCTTTTGTAGGCCAATGCAAGGCCGCTGCTTTTTTCTCTCCAGTGATCTAGAGAGAGAGTTAAGCAAAGATGAAGCAAGAATTGCTTGACGGTTTTACCTCCCTTATACCGCCATCGATCCGGTATAAATATATCTAAAGGTGCCTACATTCATTTCATCTTGTTCCAATATATTCCTGTATACGTGTTTGCTATCCATATTTCTGCTATCACACGGTAACCCTTTGCAATGCCTTAAGAATAAGGGAATGCTACATATTTTAACATACTGAAGCAAGTATAAGATATGATAAAAAGCTCACTTATAACTAATGACATACTTTGAAGCGGAAAGTGCGGCTTTACACAATACAATTTCTTTGTTTAGTTAAATATGTCTCTCAATACGCCATTGTTTCATTACGTTATCGTACATGACACAGCAATGATTGAGAGCAAATTGACGGCCGATATATCTTAGGGTGGTGATCACGAACGCCATATATGAACGACTCTGTAGTTTTTTGTTTTTTTCGCCTAGATCGCTACATATAAAATGGAGTGTCAGGATATGAATGAGGTCATACGGCGTCATGTATGCCAAGTTGACCTTGAAATAGGCTCCGAAATAGTCTGCACATCTTTGCAGGCGAGTAGCTGAAAAACTGGCAGGGTTTATGTCTTAAGAAACACAAGGCTGTGAACTGCACCGAATGGTCTTCAAGATGGCTATAAGAGTTTAAATATCCATACATCTGTGAAACACTCCCTTTCAGTATAATAATTCTGAGAATCAGATAAAGATAGACCATTGTAGATATCAACAGCCACAAGAGGTCATTACGTAATGTTCATTATAAACAATATTGTGGTTATTAGCTTCAGTTCATGTCGATGTCATTTTACTGAATCAGGATCAAATACATTTGCACCCTTGCATCGTTTGCGCCCAAACGCAAGGAGAGCTCCTTCTGAACTCCATGGCTAAAACAAATCCTTTATTGAAAGACAGGTCAGGAAAGACGAGAGTCATAACAGAAACATTAATGAATATAAACAGAGACCCGTCCTCACCCCGTGACTAGTACGCCGCAGGGTTGTATGCCTGGGTGGGATGGCTGTAAGTAGGCTTATCGGCAGCCTTGTAGGCGGGGGCAGCAGCCTTGTAGGCAGGAGCGGGATGGTACTCGGGGTACTGGGCCTCTCCTTCGTAAGTGACATCAGCGTTGTAGCCGCCGTAGCTGTCGACGACGTACTTGACGTGCTGGACACGGCCGTCGGGCAGAGCGACCGAGTAATATCCCTGGGTGTTGTGACCATCGCTCTCCTCGTTCTTGGCGAAGTTGGTACCTGTGTAGTGGTCGTTGACGGCGTAGTTGTAGGCAAACGGCTCGGCCTCCTCCTTGTACTGCGGCTCCGGATGGTAAGAGGCCGGTTTGTGGGATGGGGCCGGGGAGGACTTGTACACCAGCGTCTCCGGAGCTGGGGTGGCGGCGGCGATAGCCAGCACGGCGGCAACGACGAGACCCTGGAATACCGTAGAGGATATTTCACTGAAGAATCGACCATTTGAACAGCGCTGTTTTGCTACGATATTCTTTAGATGCTTGATCTCCGTATAAAAATTTCCAGTCGTTTAACCTATAGTTTAACTGTCCTGAAATAAGCTCTGGCAGTCAAAAGGGCAACATTTCAACAGTATCGTTCCAGCCCTCACCTGCATGGTGTGTTCTGATGGCCTCGTCTGCAGCGCAAGTGATGTCTGTTTCCATTTTGCTTTCGCTTTTATAGGTCGGCCGCTCACCGCCAACAGACGGTCACGGTCGGGACCCCAGTGAGCGGGCGGCTCCGACGGTGTCACCGGCTGTGCTGACGAATTAGCACGGTTGTGCAATGTCGTCGACCCCCCCCCCCCCTCCCCAACACACACACTTAGTCAACATCGCATAGAAAAGTTATTGACTGGAACAGAATGGGCCATCTCTTTAATTGCTCATGTAATATTCATTCAATAACATATATTATTAAATATGTTGTATATATATATATATATATATACATATATATATATATATATATATATATATATATATATATATATATATATATATATATATATATAAGCTCATCCAAATATTGCCTGAGGCTGAATCAGGCAAGCTTTAGTGCCTAAGGTTTCGGCAGCCTGCCAGACCACGTTTCTGATGGAGTAAGCAAAAGCATAACACAACTTAAGCAGTATGAGGTGATAGACATGTTATCGGGAAGATTTAGACAGTACTACAGCTTCCTCTTCGATGATTATAGCTCGCTATTTGCTTCGCGTCTGTCCGTGCGTCCTGCGTGGGTACTGGCTGGCTGACTGGCCACTGGCTGCGCCAAGGGGAAGGGGAGCTCATGGAGCTTTAGTCTCCCCCTCCCGTCGGATTTACGACTGATTCCGGATTTGGCGACCAGGGAAATTGTTCTAATTTTATGTCATACACTGCCACGGGCAACGATATGCAGGGTCCAGCAGTCGTGATTCAATTTAGACTAGTAACACTACACTGGCGCATAGCCTTGTCAACATGTGCGATACATGGCTGAAATAATTGTTTAAGACACCGTTTCAAACCAACATCGATAGGTCATTGATACGCTAGGTGCTGTGCCTATTGGCGTGTGTGGGGTCCGTCAGTCTGTTCGCAGTGCGTAGGTATTGACGATAAGGCTGGGACTCGCTCGAAAAATGACCTCACCCCGTCGCAAGTCATGGTAGCCCCCCGTCACAGATTCTGGCTGCGCTCCTGTGTCAGTCAGCCTATCTGTGTGACTGTCTGTCCCATTTTGTGTCGCGTCGTGTCCGGGCCGAACGGTGGATCGCCGGATGGTGAAATCTGGACACGACGCGCGGGCGCACGAGTTGTTTTACACAGGTAATTCGCGAGCCGCTGCGGTTTGGCGCTCGGGCGTGGCACGTGGCGGAAGGGTCATTTCAGGCGCGTTAGTTTTGCACGGGCGGCCGAGAGACGTGACCGATAGCGAGGTTGACAAGCAGCCGTTCAAAGGCGTGGCCACGACTCGGTAAACAGGCGTCGGAGCAACAATGCATTGGTACGTTTTGGTAAGGAAAAGAATGGAGAACCACGTGCGGTGCCAGATGTGCGGCCGCACGTGCCACGTGTCATGTGCACAGACACAGGCAAGATGGAATTCCTTGTTTTTGAAGGTTTGCCGCATGTTGTGCCATTTTTCAGCAGCAAGCGTGGATGGAAGCGCAAATCCAATTTCAAAGCGTCGATCAATATACGGTGTGTAATTCACGTGGGGAAGCCCAGTTTGTGCGAACCATGGTTGCGTCAGTAATCGTGGGGATGTCGGAATGTCGGCATTTTTTAAAACAGCAGCCACTAACACACGTTTTCGTCGTTACCGCAGCCAGCATCGTGGCGAAATTTTCGTCACCGCATGCACCGATTCAGTGTGTGTATTCACCACATATTGATTGGTTATTCTGTGCAATGTCCCTTCCAAACACCAACTTTGCCTAAAAACGTACTGTCCGCGTCGTCAAAATGTCACCGATTGATACGGGGCGTTCATTTCAGGTAATTCTACCGTGACGTCATTGCGGGGCTTCTTGACAAATTTCAGCATTGTAAGCCCGTAGGAAAGGGTCTTCGGAGACAGTTTTGAGGCAAATTGAGATGGTACAGAATACTCAAACACCGCCCGTATCAGATAAAACGTGTTTTTTCTAATACGCAAGGTGTACTTTCAGCGACTCATGTCTTCGCTACAAACTGCAAGTCATTTTCCAGAGTCCAGTCAGTTTTCTAGTTAAGTATCGTGTTCGTCTAGTACATCTGATTGTGCCTAATCTAGCCTTTCTAGACTAAATCTTCCAGAACGTGCTGCAACTGTACTGTTCACTTAAATGTGTGTGCCCGCTGTACTTAACGCCTATTTTTAGAGTAACGCACATAGTTCTTGTCTCAATTAAATCTTTTAACTCCCATATATATGTATATATATATATATATATATATATATATATATATATATATATATATATATATATATGAAATGCGTTATTTCGCAGGGTTTTTGCAACGCCTTTTCATTCAAAACCCATCTTAAATGTTTTGTGTGCATGTCATGAATGGTCGTGTCAATTTCTATGCTCGTAAAGGATCATTTCTTATTTCTCCTCGCAACATATTTTGAAATGAATTGCCTTTAATCTGCGCATTTGTGAAGACATGCGGCAAGAACAAAACAAGTGCTGTTTTCTCGTGATTGGCCAACATGGCCGACTAGCTATCAAAATAGCATGAGACGAATTTCTGAGACGAATAACGTGAGATTCGAAGTACGGTGCACTAAATTGTACAACTTTGGAAATCATTATGGCAGTGTTTATTTCAAGTTTTAAGTTACACTAGTACCCCGGTTTTGCGATTGCCTTATGAAACAAATGAAATGAAGTTTCTAGGCATATGCAAGAGGCGTCTCTAAGCACGTGCACGCGTATTGAGGGAGGTGAAAGTGGCAAGTGGTCGCCGACTGATTTCCGTTGAGGATGTAAGCGATTCGCCCTATGTTACTACACGAATAATCGAATATGAAGCTTGCATCCCATTAAGCACATACGCATCTGTCAGTCACTCCACCATACATACCCGTTTCCCGTCAAATATTCCGTCAGCCATAGGCTGGATCAGCCGGGAATTTTTGCTAACGATTTTATATGCATCCATGAATACCGCAAAACCAGTTAAAAACACTTTATAAAGAGCCAGATTGCCTCTCCTGCGTTTTCAAGGAGATAGCTCAATCAGTTAGGGACGCAAACCCGCGCGCGCTGGTCTGCCGTGGCAAGTATCTTTTTTCAGAGAATTGGCATGACCATGGTAATATAACCAACTAGGATCATCAAATACGTTTGAAAACATGACGCAGTGAGCCTTGGAAATTGGTTCAGCCGCCATCCCGAATCAGAGATAGTTATGATGGACCAGACACTGGCATCGAATAACTGAAGAATGACGCCGCAATCGAGAGTGCAAATGCAAGTGACACAAACATGACTTCGCGGAAAAGGAGTCCATAACAACGCAAATAAAGCCAAAACGCACGCAACTAATGCTTGTAGCGATGAGCTCTTCACATAAACAAAAAACGCAAACCTACGGCACGTAGAAGTGCCGCAAGTGAGTCAGCTGTTGCTTACAGCGGCATTTCTGACGCGGCGACTCTGCCTCTGGCTCTGACATCACAAAACTTCCCTGACGTAACAGAACGATCACGTATTAAGGACAATATGTACCAATTGTAGACGTGGTTACTCAGATAAACCTTTTGCTTTTAAACCCATGACAATACTTTACAATTGAGCTTTTTATCTTATTTCGTGCCCGTTTCAAAATCTTCAGGCGTATAACAGCTCTATCGGCGCAAAAAAAAATGATACGGAGGGAGTTTGGCGTGAATTAATGAGTGGCTTCGTGTCCGCACCAATGCATGGTGACACCATTCCAGCCGATATGAAAGCGCAGGGGGCAGTCTGTTCAGTGAGGTAATGACCGTGGCCTTCCATCAGTGGCTGGCGGCCGACCTATAAAAGCGAAGGCACAGTGGAAGCAGGCACCAGTTTCACTGCACGCTCGGCAAACAAAACACAGCATGCAGGCATGTGCTTGATGAAAATTGGGGGGGGGGGCGGAGCTAGGTGTGGAGCTGGGGGCTTTTTCATGAGAGGCATCCTGATCGAAAAAACAAAGATGCCGAGCAAAGGGTGGTTTATTAATAACATATTTTCTATGGTATTGCAGGTCCTCGTCGTTGCCGCTGTGCTGGCTGTTGCCGTCGCCGCCCCAGCTCCGGAGGCACCGGGCTACAAGCCCGCTCCGGCCCCCTACCACCCGGCCCCGTCTTACAAGTCAGCTCCTTACCACCCGGAGCCCCAGTACAAGGAGGAGGCCAAGCCGTTCGCCTACGACTACGCAGTCAACGACCACTACTCCGGAGCCAACTTCGCCAAGAAGGAGGAGAGCGATGGTCACAACACCCAGGGATATTACTCGGTGGCTCTACCCGACGGCCGTGTCCAGCACGTCAAGTACGTCGCTGACAACTACGGCGGCTACAACGCTGACGTCACCTACGAGGGAGAGGCCCAGTACCCCGAGTACCACCCTGCTCCTGCCTACAAGGCTGCTGCCCCGGTTGGCAAGCCCGTCTACAAGTCTGCAGCATACTAATCTTATGCTGATAACGACCACCTATTTAAACGCATGCATGTTTTGTTGTGATGTTTCCTGACCAGTTGTATTTCAATACAATGTACTGCTCAGATTTCCTTGGTGTTACTGAAGGCAAGCAGTTCTCGTCGTTGGGGCAAATGTACGTGCTTTTGATAGTGGCGCAAGCCTCGCACGTTCCTCAGAGTTCCACAATTACTTTATTAAAGCAAGTGGAGATCTACTGTTTCGCCACGAAAACCCATCGCTCTGAGTATCGCCCCCCCCCCCCCCCCCGCCACCGCTTGCAAGGCTGCAGCCCCACACCACAAGACTGTCTGGAAGTCTGCAGACAGCTCTCTCATTCTGGCATAGCAGCCTGCTGCATGCTAGTTAGATGCTGAAAATGACCTGCTCTTTGAGCGCAAGAATGTTGACATGAATGTTGGATGTGTGATACGGCTGTGATCCGAGCTGTTATATGTTAAATCAATAAGTTGCTTATCCCATGAGGTTTTTACACATGCAGTCATAATTTTTCTGTTGTGTGAATTTCAGCGATACGGGTGCGACAACCATAGGCGGATCCTGGGGGGGGGGGCATGCCCCCAAAAACTCTGAGAGTGTGTTTTGGCCCCCCAAAACATTGCCAGAACTTCATAAAAGTTTCGTCTACTTACCGTCTGTTATCACCATTTGCGATAAACCCCATCTGACCAGTTGACTCTTGGACGTAATATCTTATGTTACGAGCTTTGTAAACATACATACTGTATATAGAAGATTCATAAGCATTTCGGTGCTTGAATGGTGTCCCTACTAGGTACTCGCGAGAGGCACCATGCACTGGACCTCGCTTCCCACACCAGCCAGCTGGCGACGAGCGGTTGCCCCCCCCCCCCCCCCACGAAAAAGGTTAGATCCGCCCCTGGCGACAGCCTACTTGAGCGTTCTACAAAGCTAATGACGATCACAGGGCGTATAATCCTGTTTCAAGAACATGTTCTGCAGCTGAAGCTATTGAAGCAAGCCTAGGATATGATGAAATAAGCTCACTTATAGCTGTTGGCATCCTTTGAGATGAAGAAGGTTGCTCTAGACGATACATTTTCTCTGCTTAGTAAACATGCTCCTGCATGTGTCATTGTTTGATTGCGTCATCGTACCTTGCACGACGTTGATTGAAAGCCAGTTGGCGGCCGTTATTTGTGGAAATGGTGTTCGCCAACGCCAGATATGAATGACTCAACAATGAAATAGTTATTGGCGTTGGAGCCCCATGGCTAATAGAATGGCAAAATTTGAATGCCATTATGACGTTATGAATGCCGTGGTCACCTTGAAGTGGTCTTCCAGAAAAACCTGCTCATCCTCGCGGGTGTATGGCTGAGAAACTAGACAGGTTCAGGTCTTAAGAAGGGCAGGGCAGTGAACTGTACCGAATGATCTCCACGTTAGCTAATTCGGTTCAAAGCCACATACAAATGTCGAATACTCCCTTCAAACAACGACAGTTTTCATGAAACAAGTGTGGAGGGGTGAAAACAAAACTTCTGTGTGACAACTCGTCAGTCAGACAAACGTGTTGATCACAAGCAGATCTCGTTAGTCCAAATATCTGGTAGGTGTGACACCTCTCAGCCTCATCAGCGGTATGGACCGGCAACGGCTAGTCCACCACAGCGAACATCGGGGCAGCCACCTTCCTTCGGGACAACTCAGCCACGGGGACGAAGACTTCATCCCGGCTTGGCGACCACAACTGGGACGGCTCGGCGATACGACGAAGTCCGGGAATATCCGGCCGTCAAGATGAGCGGCAAGACGTTCGGCAGTGAGGACGGAAACAGAGGCGTCACACAGCCTTACGGACTTAATGACATGTATAAGTTACGAAATGTGGCATTTTTAAGGAAATAATTTCGGCAGATATAATTATAACCATCGAATGCATCCAATGTTTTTATAACAGGTAAGGAATTGCGGCTGCTGCGGCACGCTTAACTAAGTTTTAAGTGAGGCTGCGTGAGTTGCGTTCGACCCCAACCACCGCCCAACGCTCACCACAACCTCCATGTTAAAACACCCGCATGCTGCTGGGATACGTGGGACCACATAATACAACACATACACGGGAAGAAAGGCAGCATGCTGTCCGATATGTTGTCGAGCTTTTTAAGGGAAATACATGTCATGAACGTCATTACGAGTTTTGAACGGGTTTGGTTTGGGTTGGGGGTCCCTCTAACAAGAGACGAGATGCTCTCAGCTCTCAGACGGTCGCGGGTCAGAGGTGTTTAGTAAGACCATATGCTGATGACCATCTGTCAGGCAGTTTCAAAGTAATACTTTCACAGGACGCCATTTGTATTGGTAACAGATACTTTGTTTCCGGAAAAATATTTTGAATTTCTTTGCAATCAACCGAAAAATTCAGAACCATGCTATGACGAAACATTAAAAGCCCTAACAATCCATGCCACGACATCACTAGCTAGGCAACATAATTGCTCTTGTAGTCTTAAGTTTCGGTTTATGCGAACGTCGTTTGTCACAGCCGGATCAGACATATGGGCGGTTGGAAACGTACAGTTGCCTCCGTCAAAACCGCACAACTCGACTGAATCCTGTTATTGGAGTGACACAGTTAACGAAATTAAAAACACCACCCTACACGTAAGAATATATCTGAATGGGCAACCCTTCCAAAGCCGTGACTAATATGTGGCAGGCTTATATGCCGGGGCGGCATTGCTGTAAGCAGACTTGTGGACGGACTTGTAGGCCGGCCCAGCAACCTTGTAGGCAGGGGCGGGGTAGTACTCGGGGAACTGGGCCTCTCCCTCGTAGGTGACATCAGCGTTATAGCCTCTGTGGTTGTCAGCGACGTATTTCACGTGCTGAACACGGCCGTCGGGCAGAGCCACCGAGTAATATCCCTGGGTGTTGCGGCCATCGCTCTCCTCCTTCTTGGCGAAGTCGGTGCCGGTGTAGTGGTCGTTGACGGCGTGGTCGTATGCGAACGGCTTGGCCTCCTCCTCGTAGTTGGGTCCAGGATGGTAAGAGGCCGGCTTGTAGGAGGTGGCCAGGTGGTAGGGGGCCGGAGCTGGCTTGTAGCCTGGCGTCTCCGGAGCCGGGGCGGCGGCGACGACAGCCAGCACGGCGGCAACGACGAGGAACTGCAATGCCGTAGAGATTATTAGACGATTCAGGCAGTCATTTAATCAGCGCAGTTTTGCTGTGACACATCTGTGCAATTTCAGTCACATCGCGAAACCCGGAGTGCACTTGTCTTGATGTAAACTCTCTAGTAGCCAGCAGAGCACCATATAAATGGTATCATTCTAGTACATACCTGCATGTTGTGTCCTGAAGGCCGGGTGTACAGTGCAAGTGGTGTCTGCTCCCTTAGTATTTTCGCTTTTATAGGTCGGCCGCTAACCACTGACAGATGGTCACGGTCAGATTCCAGTGAACGGACGCCTCGGTATCACAGGCTGTGCTGACGAATTCGCACGGAATTCCTGGTACACGCCCGCCTCCTAGAAGTTGACTATAATGCGATCCATGACGTCGTATATGGACAGATCATCTAATTTTTACAGGTGAGTTGAAAGATGAATGCTAAAGAGCATGTGGTTTATGACGCAGCAGGTTTGTATCAATCTTTTGAAGCAATGCTCTGAACGGAAAGCAATCATGCCAACAATTTGTAGCTATTTGTTAGATCAATACACGCTGTTTTCCCATCCCCAACTGATAGGTGCTCTGACCGCGACATGTCACGTTTAAGTCCCATCAGATCGCATCTAAATTGCTTCATTTTTGGTTGTTTTTCATCCAAAAGTGCTGATAAAGTGGGTCATATCCGACAAGAGTTCAAAATCGGGGCAATAGGTATGATATAAAGGTATAAGAATGAAAATTGAGGTCGGTCATGTCATTAAGATGTCCGACACAACATTTCTTAAGAAAGCACAGGCGGGAACGGAAACTGGCCTTCTGAGCAAAGGCATTTGTATGCACTCTTTTGAAGTGTTTTGAAGCTAATTGACCTCTCGCTTGACTTTTCCAGGTATGAATCGTGCCCGGCTCAAACGTACGGACGTCACACACATTGGCATGCGTCGTATCAATTGCGGATTGTGTTGCCACTCACATAATTAGGTTTAAAATGACCATATCCGTATGGGAGGTAAGCAAAATTCGGTCCTACGCATGAATCTTAGCTTTAAGTCTTATCACCCCAGACTTGTGATTTTGTTGTTATGCACACATATATTTACTGAAATAATTGTATGGCTCAAAGCCTCCTTAACCACGGTGTCCATGCTTTTGGCATGTTGAGTAGCCATGCCTGCAATGAAGGGTGAATAAAAATTACATGCAATATAAATGTTTTAAGGCCATGTACACATTTTCATCAAAACGTTGACAGCGAATTCCAGCCGTTTCTCACATTACTTCAGGCTACGACATGCGATTAAATGGGACGTTACGAAACCAATTATTAAGAAATTATATCACCAACTGATGTCATGAAATGATTTTGAAAATTCGTGAAGAGGGACACGTAAGTTCGTTAGGGAGCGTTTTAAAACAGTGTTAAAGGGAATATTCCACATCTGTATGGCGTTTTGAACTGAAATAGCCATCTTGAAAACCTTTTGATGCAGTTCACGGTCATGTCCTTTTTAAGACCCAAAACGATCTGGTTCCCGAGTTACACGCCCGCAAAGTGCGAAAAGTATTATTTAGAGCCCATTTCAAGATCGCCTTCTGTTTAATGACGCCATAGAAACGTCATTAGATGCCCGTGATATGACAGGCTGTTTTCTGCTTATGGTCAAAACAGCATGGCCGCTGGCACATTCGCAAAAGCGATGATGCGGCACACATGATACAATGCGTGGAAGATGATTGGCTGTCAGCAAAATTCCGCTGCTGAAAGCGTGTCGCGAACGTAAGCGTGAGCACTTTCGGGTTGAGCAGCACTCGTCGTGAACGGGTCATTTTTTCTTATTCCTAGGCCACAGGTCAATGTTATGAAAAAGAACACCACTTGTGGCTTGTATTGATCTTGATGTGATAGGGAGTGTACGTGGGAGGTTTGTACTTCTGAGAGAGAGCATTATTTTGGTATTCTTTAAGCCTACTGACACCCAGTTAAATGTGATACATTGATACCTGCCTCTAGCTTTATGTATGTGTTTGTACATGACAAAAGAACGCTGGCATACTAATAGAAGCACTAGCACTTATGTTGCAGGGGTGTACAAAGGCAAGCTGGTACTTCATAATGCACATGCTCAGTGTATGCTCACATTATAAGGCTTTGCACAATTGCCTTTCCCTAAAGAATTCTTAAAACACAGTGCTGTATTATTACTAATGCACATTGTACTGTCTTCACAAATGTTGTATGCAGGCGAGCATTGCTTGCGACTCATCAATGCCATAGTCACTGCAACTTGCGTAAGATGTTTTGTGCTGAGAAAGGTGGAAAAGTATTGCTGTTGGTATCTTGGATGGGACTTAATAATATTTTTATCGTCAGCCTTGTGTGCACTGGCAGCTTCATCACTTCCTTGCGATTTGCCCATCCAACCACGACTGCATTCACTTACCATGTTTCAAGCCTTGTGCAAGGTCAGCATGTTTGCAGTGCCATTTCGCCACATGTAAAATTGTCCTGTTATTTTTTTAGTAACGCATCCTGATGACTGCAGCATGTTGCATGACCATAGAAGTGGAAGGTGTGTTTGCATCTTTCTGACCTACGTTTTGTGGATTCCCAAAGCAGGCCGAGCAAGTGATGCCGTTTATTGGTTGTCTGCTTTGCTAAAATAGTTTGTATATTGTACCATGTGTTTTTGATCAGTCACGGGCCAGATGGAGAATCTGTACAAGAGAGGACACGTGACTCATCTTTTCATGATGGAATTTAGTATGAAAGCAGCATGGATTGCAACTACCTATCTATCAGCAGCAAGAATGTCATTGCATCGCAACGGTTATATCAGGGTTCGGTATTAATTTCATGAATAATTCTAAGCAAAAAAAACAACAAATTTTTGGTAGCCCAAACATACCATATTTACCATAGCAATAGCAATGCTTTGGCAATCAATTCATAGCAACGCTCCAAATTTATTAATTTTCGCATGGCACCACATGTCCAGGAAGAACCCATAAAGAAAGAAGTACTTTGCACATCACATGATATCAATGTCAGGACTACAGCACTGCAGGCAACGATTGGTCGGCAATAGAGTATTGACAAAATTATCAAGAGCATAACAGCAACAGCAGCAGCACAGAATATCGTGCTCTCACATGAATAATCTGCCATAAAAGCTGGAGATCGCTTCGTTGCGAATGTCCAACAGTCTACCAAAGCTTTTTCTTACGGCCAGCACCAAGACAAAAAAATCCATAAACGAACCACCCACTAATCCGCCATTCGACACAGCCCCGCGACGAGAACGGCCAGCTGGCGTAAGCTTTCGTGTGTTTCGAGGAATTCTTTAGGTCTGGCTGCCAGATGCTGTCAGGTATTGCTGTCGTCACAAAAGCATTCTATGACGCCTTCAAACAATGACGTAATGGGGCGTATTTTAATAAAACAAATTGTGCTACGTAGCGTCGTTTTTGAACCTTGAAAGCTTACCAATAGTTACAAGTAAGCTTTTTCCATCATATCTGATGCCTACCTCAATATCTTCAAATGTGGAACATTCCCTTTAATGGAAATGTCTGCAGTGGAAAAGTTTGCAACAAGTTGGGAATAAATGTTACCTGCTCATAACATCTTTCTACGGAAAATATGGCGGCATAAGACAGGTAAAACCGCTTCATCACTATCGATTCATCCTCGCTAGACGTTAGCGTGACGTCACTGGTGCCAAGACTTCAATGTGCGGTAATCCGGTAGTCTCCGGACGTAATGCTGAGAGGCAAACGGAAACTAGGTACATTCTTGTAGATAGTGAACAAGCCGATAGAGGAGGGTGCATATGGCCAGCGAGCCAGTAATATATAATTTTGCGGTGATTATGATAATAAACTTTCCAGGTAACCGCAAAAACGTCGCAGACAGCAATGGCAGGAAAAGTAAATTCACACATCGGTGTTATACGCAAATGGGTCAGAGGAGCATGGGGCTGAATGATGACCTGCCAGTGTGATTGAATGAACACCTGCCGGCGTGATTGACTGAAGACCTGCCAGCATGATTGACTGATGACCTGCTAGTGTAAATGACTGATGACCTGCTGGTGTGACTGACTGGTGTCTTGCTAAGGTGACTGGGTGATGACCTCCCAGTGTGCCTGAATGAGGATCTGTCAGTGTCACTGATTGATGACCTGCCAGGGTGACTGATAGATGACGTGGTAGTGTGACTGACTGATGACCTAATAGTGTGACTAACTGATGATCTGCCAGTGTTTTCAAATCGCATCCAAATACTTTAGAGGAGCACCGACGCTCACACGGAACACCTTTCTCAAATGGCCGTCGACGATGTGGACATGATTATCAAATATGAAAAACGACCTGAACCTAGTCTTCAAATCATGTAGCTTTTGTCTCATGAATAATCAGCCATCTGATCAAACAATGCCGAATATGTATTTTTGGAGCGAGTGTGACTCAAACACTGCCCCTTCGCTCCAGGTCAACCGAAGCTTAATGTGTGAGGATTTTCTCAAAGGTCTACCAATATGTAGCATTACTGCTGCGGACGAATTAATCCAGGTATTGTTTACGTTCTGCGACGTATACCGCAGCACTTCTGGAACACGACACCGCCAGTATTATCAGATACCTTAGACCACGGCCGTGTCATCTTCCCAGCATGCATTGCTTGTTGATGTGTGTATGGCAACAGAAAGGACTAGCTCACAGAAAAGCTGTCTTATCAAAACGTTCCTTGTATATATATATATATATATATATATATATATATATATATATATATATATATATATATATAAATCACATAACGTCACATCACAATGCACAGTTTCAAAACGCCAACACAACATGCTCGCTTCTAGTACGTCACATCCGACTTGAAGCCCGGGGCAGCCGCCTTGTGGGAGGACTTATAGGCAGAGGTGGAGGACTTGTATCGAATGGCCTCCGGTTTGTCTGTCTGGGTAGCAGATGTGTAGTCCGGGGCAGCAGATGTGTAGGCCGGGGCATCAGATGTGTAGGCCGGTGCAGCGGTTGTGTAGGCCGGTGCAGCAGATGTGTGAGCCGGGGCAGCAGGGGTATAGGAAACAGGAAGAGCATTGTACGCAGGGGCGGCAGACTTCAAGTCAGGTTGATGGGCCTGGGCAGTGGGCTGGTAGGCAGGTACAGTTGCGTGATAAGCAGAGACAGCTGTCCCGTAGGCTGGAGCAGCAGGCTTAAAGGTGCGCTTGTAGGCCGGAGTGGTAGCCTTGTAGGACGGGGAAGTGGGCTGATAAGCAGTGGTGACGGTTGGCTGATGGGCGAGGGTAGCGGACTTGTACACGAGCTTGTATACATTGTCAGCAGTCTTGTACGCCGTAGCAGTAGTCTTGTAGGCAGGAGCGGGGTGGTACTCGGGGTACTGAGCCTCTCCCTCGTAGGTGACTTCAGCGTTGTAGCCGCCGTAGTTGTCCGCGACGTACTTGACGTGCTGGACACGACCGTCGGGCAGTGCCACCGAGTAATATCCCTGGGTGTTGTGGCCATCGCTTTCTTCCTTCTTGACGAAATTGGTGCCGGTATAGTGGTCGCTGACAGCGAAGTCGTAGGCGAACGGCTTGGCCTCCTCCTTGTAATGGGGCTCCGGATGGTACGACGGGGAGTCAGGAGCCGGGGCAGCGGCGATGGCGGCGGCCAGGGCGGCGACGATGACGAAGACCTGGGGGCGGAAATCTGGTCCGTTATACATACTGAAATGCATTGCTGATCGGAACTGATATTAGGTCTTTAACTGTTTTCGACAAGTTTCTCTTAACTATGTAGCTCCTGCAATTGTGATTCATAAACTGAATCTGACACCTCATTAATCTTTTATGCACACAAATGCACATGAGATGACCACCACAGCGACCAATATCGTAGTTTTAGCTAAATCACTTGTGCGCACCTTCATGCTACACATTTTGATGGTAGGGAATGCAGTGCAACTGATGCCTTCTCCACAATGCCTTCGCTTTTAAGCGCCAGCTCCAAGCCGCTGATGGCCTTAGGTCACGGTCCGATCCCTCCACATACGATCGTTTGACGATGGACCCCCAGCTGGGCTCTCACGGCCACTCCCTGTTGGTCACGTCCGTCTCCACACGCGGCGACCCTGCGGCCGCTGACCCGTCTCAGTTGGAGCAGCCTCGGGCGCCTACCGCTCTCCCCAGATCCGTGACACCGAGCTAGAACGTCGCGCCCTGAGGTTTGAGAATGAATGTTGAAGATCGAAACGGCAGCTAACCGTAGAGATAATGACGGGGCTAGATTGGCTGCAATGCCGAATACGTCACATGTAGTATCTGCAAGAAACGAAACTGAGTATCCGGGCGGTCCGTAATGTGCAAAAGGCAAGCTGCCAGGCACAACTGATGGTGCAAGATAGAAGAACATGTAAAAGCATGAGCAACGCACGTCAGGCATGATAGCGTGTGAAAACACCAGTTCATTGACACAAACCTTCACTTCCTTAACAGTGGATGCCGAAGTACATGAAGAACCATCGAGCCGCAGACCAGCCATGGTGCGTATCGCGATTCCACCTTCCATGCAATTCTCATAGCCATCGTCTGCTGTTGTTTCGATAAAGGCGTGCTGCCGAAATATCAATCCATGCTTATCTCAATTCTCCTGTTCTTGTGTTCTCCGGGGAATAGGGCTATTACTACTCTCTTGTCTAGGTGTATTTTTTGTTGCCTACGATATATACAACAAAGAGCTTATAGCCACATGACGGCATATATTCCTGTCTATGGCATCGCACTACTGTTCTAGTGGTTTGCTCTTACGGGGAAAACTAAGCCTTTCCGTGTCAAATCCAGGTAGGAGACCACACCACAAAAATACACACGAGAAGACAAATGCCGTGCTCCCCGATGCATTGAGAAGTTCATTTTTCCGGGTGAGAAAGGTCATAAACATTATCACGAATTTGAGCTTGAGCGGCTGGCATGATGGGAGTCAGGAATTAGGAAAGTATATGGGAATACGACGTAATAAAACGATCCATATTCAACCCGCAGCAGCGGCGCCATTTAAGCAAGGGATAGTGGTTGTCGCTTCTACAGACAGATCTTAAGATCGCAACTTTAAGTATTATAATAGTTCTGCTTTTCGCGTCCCGGTGACATGAAAAAAAACACTTAAGCCATGCCTTATGTCTTTCTGTAATGAATCTATGATTTGGACGTACGGTCGTCATTTTTTTTCTGCTCCTTGCGTTCGCATCGCGTCCATGATAGACATTGATTTGGACATGGACTTAGACCGCATCGTTTACTGTAGATCGACAGCAACCTGTTCTTCGTGCGCCACATCTCTAGTCACCTACATGGCTGTGTTGGCGATCTGCACCACTTGGCAAGATTAACCCTGGCTGTCCATGCGCCATGTCAGGGATGAGTTGATTTAAGACGCGTCCGGATGGCCGTTTGGATATCCTTTGCTTGGGTAGGGGTCAATTTGACCCCCTGAGATCTCAGGAACTGAGAGGGCAAGAGTCATCAACTTGACATGGTGTGTTGGCCTGAGCGCGAGCTCACTTATGTTAAAGCTTGATGCTCCTGGGTCGTGACCCTCGTGACAAATAACGTTCAACAAAGTCAAACTCCAGGCTGGTTTCTCAAATGCTCCAGAACCTAAACACCTAGCCTAGAAGAATGGTCACATGCCCATTGAATGTCAGTGACATTGTTTGGCATTTTGAAGATCATGCTGACCTAAATCATGGAAGACTGCTTTGATTTTTGCATTCGAATAAGCGACAAAGATTAAGCAATGCGGTATGTTTCATAAGAAAAAATGTTGCCTTGGGTTATTTTAGGTCAGGGAGCTATTCTGACCTCTAGAAAGTGTATTGAAGATACGCAATGCGGTTTCTGTTGTTAATCAATTTAAAATGAGCACCAGAAGCGAAACAAATCCCGTACAGCAAACCCTATGGTAATAAAATAGATTGGTTTTACCTTGGTCTGACCTTTATACCTGACTTTTGGTTGATTTAATTTGCTCATTCAATTTTTGTGTCGACTAAAAGAATAATTTCAGAGATTTACGATTTTGTCTGACACTCCGCTGTTGCATAATATTGAACGATTTTCTAGAAAATGACTTCGCTGAATCCAATTTGACCTGCCGAAGTCAGCGACCTTACAAGGTACATCCAAGTTTATGAAACGACACCAAACGATCCGCTATCCAGTTGTCTACAGCTATGCAAAATTTCAAGCAGCTAAGCCTCACCTTCGGAAAGCATTCCGGAAAAATCTTCGGAGGGTCAAATGATCCCCACCCGAGTGCGCATTAAACACTTCAAGGCAACTACTAAAATTGGGAGTTGTAGCGACTAGAAACGGGAGCATCTTAAGAGTCCTCACGGGAGATGCCATGACTCCGTGGCCCATTTGGACATCGAGAGCCCATTTTCCACATTAGTGACACCTTGATCACCTGGCGACACTGTAGACATACTGTACTCACTTGGCACAGTCCGGGGGTAGCTCCGACAACAAAAGACAGCAAGATCTCAACCCGCAGACGGTCATAGGCCAGAGGTTATTGGTGACCACGTGCTGATAACCACCTGACAGGCAGTTTCAGCGCGATGCTATCACAGGACGCTTGTATTGATAACAGAAACTGCGCTTCAGGAAAATGAAATGTTTTGAATTCTTCTACAATCAAACCGAAGATTTAAGGAACCTTGCAAAGCTGAAACGCTCCGAGCACCAGCAGTCCATGATAGGTCGTTGGTAAAGGCCATTATAAAGCGGCATGTGGTCGTTGTCTTCAGTTTATGCGGACGTCGCCTCTCACTATCAGATCAAAGACATTTCGGGGTGGAGGGCGTGTAATTACCTTCGTTAAAACGGCACGACTCGAAACAATGTTGTTTATTGAAATAACGCAGGACAAAAACGGAAACCATCATAACGCAAGCATGCATAAGTTTGAATAAGTAGCCGTTCTCACCCTACGACTAGTACGTCACAGGCTTGTATGCCGAGGTGGGATGGCCGTAAGCAGGCTTGTGGACAGGCTTGTTGGCCGGGGCAGCAGCCCTGTAGACAGGAGCGGGGTGATACTCAGGGTACTGGGCCTCTCCCTCGTAGGTGACCTCAGCGTTGTAGCCGCCGTAGTTGTCTGCGACGTACTTGACGTGCTGGACACGGCCGTCGGGAAGAGCCACCGAGTAATATCCCTGGGTGTTGTGACCATCGCTCTCCTCCTTCTTGGCGAAGTTGGTGCCAGCGTAGTGGTCGTTGACGGCGTAGTCGTAAGTGAAAGGCTTGGCCTCCTCATTGTACTGGGTCTGCGGATGGTAAGAGGCCGGCTTGTGGGCCGGGACGGGCTTGTACACCGGTGTATCTGGAGCTGGGGCGGCAGCTGCAACAGCCAGCACGGCGGCAACGACGAAGACCTGCAATGTCATAGAAGATATGTTATCAATGACTCGCTCATTCTAGCATTTTTTTTATTTTTCTGACCACGATGCATTTGTCGAAAAAATCCCTAGCATCCGACAAATTACTGCATCAACAATATAGCTCAAGCACATGCCTGCATGTTGTGTTTTGGTGGCCGAGTATGCAGTGAAACTAGTGCCTGCTTCTGCAGTACTTTCGTTTTTAAAGGTCGGCCGCCAACCATCGACGAAGGCCACGGTCACCTCACTGAACAGACTGCCCCCCCCCCCCGCCCCCTTCCCAGCATGCTGTGATCCGCTGGGCTGGTGCCAATGTGGCTTGGCACGGATCCGTAGCCACTCCTTAATACACGCTCCACTCCTGCCACGCGATGCGAAGTACAAAAGATTGCTGTTAATAGCGCAATTCCACTACTAAACAAAGATGCTCTTCTTTACGTCATCGTTTGATAACGCCAAAGATCGTTTTTACGTTATCAGAGTATCCACCAGAGTTGCTATGTTTGAGTTTCCTCTGAACTGGAAAGCGACTCACCTGTCGGCTTCGCCGCACCGTAAAGTTGGCGTCGTCTATTTATGCGAAGAATTTGTGCTGCATGCCTTCGTTGTGCGTGCATTAGCCCTTTTTACGTTGTTCTTATATTTTCCTCAGAGATTCATAATCTTAAGATACATAAATGCCTATGGAATTTATCACAAAACACGGTTCGTGATCAAGGTATGCAAACGGCAGCGCAATCTGGTTGTTTGCCAATAGCCTCATGACGTCATACGTTCATCATAAAAGCCAGATCTAGCCAGATGGTGCATCACCACCTGTGAATCAATGTACATTATGGGGATAGGTAGGTATGAAGGTACCTTACACATACAAAATATTATCCGCCTTATCGAGGTGCGTGCACGGCAAAACTCTTCCCGCACAGACCTCCGCTTATCTGGTAAAACTGCTATGAGCCTATGCATACAAAAAGCATACGCGCCATCTTTCTTTAAGTAAGTCCCTTGACGACAAAGTAACTGAAATACTTACCGCAAGCAATATTAAATGCAGCAGACAACAGACACCCCACGCCCGCCACTCCGTCGCACCACCGGCGGTGTCAGGACCACGGGGCACGAGGCCGTGTAGGTTCGAAGTGCACTGCAATGGGTTGCTGCTTGAGGTTATCACACACTTCGTCAAGCTTCGTTGAAGTCTACACTATCGGTTCGCTGGTCGGATACGTCTGCCACTAAGTCGGTTTCTTATT